AGATAGATAGATAGATAGATAGATAGATAGATAGATAGATAGATAGATAGATTTGACTCATTGAAAGGGATTTCCTAAATGTTGAAATATTACAGATTTAATATTATTCGACTCTTTAGTTCTTCAGTGTTAGACTTTTCACACACATTTCCATCCTATATTAAATGTTTGTTCTTTTAATTATTTGAACCCCCCCCCCCACCCCTCCCAGGAAATAAATTAAATTTTAAAAAAACGTAATCATGTCTGAAATGTTAAATGTTTAATCCTTATCGTTTATATGTTTTTCAACAGCTAAATCAAGTATTGTCATTGCATAAAAATCCGTAATTATTTTTCTTTGAGCCTATACAAAGCAAAGTAATTGAGTCTATGCCACAAACTCTTATTTCCTTATCAGAATATTTTTGCAACCCAATGTTGCAGACCTTAGATATTTCAAACAATGATTTATGTTTGAGCAAATAGCCTAAGTTTGAATCATCAAAAGGTCACAACATGATTGGAAAATTTGATTTTGTGGCAAAGACTCAATTCCTTTATTATTGTTTTTAAGTAAAAATAAGTGAATATGGTTAATTGGAAGAATAAGTGAATATGGTTAATTAGTATGAATAAGTGAATAAGGTTTATTAGAAAATAAGTAAGTATGGTTAATTAGTATGAATAAGTGAATATGGTTTATTAGAAAATATATAAACATGGATTATTAGAAAATAAGTTAATATGGTTAATTAGAAGAATAAGTGAATATGGTTAATTAGAAGAATAATTGAATATGGTTAATTAGAAGAATAATTGAATATGGTTGATTAGAAATATAGATGAATATGGTTAGTAAGAAGAATAATTGAATATGGTTAATTAGAAGAATAAGTGAATAAGGTTAATTAGGAGAATAAGTGAATATGGTTAATTTGAAGAATAGATGAATATGGTTAATAAGAAGAATAATTGAATATGGTTAATTAGAAGAATAAGTGAATAAGGTTAATTAGAAGAATAAGTGAATATGGTTAATTAGAAGAATAGATGAATATGGTTAATTAAAAGAATAATTGAATATGGTTAATTAGAAGCATAAGTGAATATGGTTAATTAGAAAAATAGATGAATATGGTTAATTTGAAAAATATATGAATATGGTTAATTTGAAAAAGATATGACTGCTAGCAACGCGACAATGTTAAAGAGACGTGTTCACGTAATTGCAAGTGATCCAAGTCCGATTCAGAACAGTACCCTTCAGGACACCGTCTATGCAAAAGTGATGAGGATGATCTTGTTTTTCTTTCTAATATCTGTGATTTTTTCTTAAATAGTAAATCGTGGATGTAAATGCCACACAAACATGGAAAGAAATTTACAAATTCCTTTTCATACTCAGTTTTACCCTGCAGATAAAGGTTAAGGGGTACCGTTATGAATCTTTCATTTGACTGTTATTTTACATTACTATCTATCCTGTCCTATCCTGTCCTATCATGTCCTATACTATCCTGTCCTATCCTGTCCTTCTGTCCTATCCTGTCCCTCTGTCCTATCCTGTCCTTCTGTCCTATCCTGTCCCTCTGTCCTATCCTGCCCAATCCTATCCTGTCCTATCCTGTCCTATCCTGTCCTATCTTGTCCTATCTTGAAAATGTGTATGACGTTTCTTTATCTTTTAATGAATACACTGCAATATTTACATACTATGTAAGTTCTCGAATGGTTGAGCAATTTTAGTTTTAGTTATTATTTGTTAATTTTGTAAATTGGACTGGGAATAATGCTTGATAAGAAAAAGAATTGAATTTTTTGTAAATTTAGGTTGTTTTAAGAGTTTGTTATCCTACACCCAGAACCTATATAACATTATATGAATGCTGCAAAAACAGGGGTTAATGTTAAAATAGAAAAAAACATCTTAATAAAAAATTTCTTCATTAAACAATTTCTTATAATAGTTTAAACAAAGCTGAAAAAGAGGAGAGGAAGAACGGAACCCTGAGGAACTCCAAAGCAAGGACGGAAGTTGTATCTGGAAAAGTAAACACGGTTGTTATCAGGAACCAGTGGGTACTCAGGGTACCCAGTAGACTAGGCACAGTGTCGTCAACATATTTTTAACATTAGGAACAAGATATATTTAAATAGAATCACAGTGGATTGAAATCAAACATGTTTTCATCCAGAAGTAACTTTACTTTTCTCTTACTTTTGCGTAAAATCAAGGTCCTATATGTCCTAGTTGGAGAGATTTAGAACCGTTCTAACTTTTAAAACCTAATTTAAAACAAAACAATTACAAGACAAACCTTTTTATCCGACAAATTGAGAAGCTGCGTCATATTTATAAAAAGAATACAAAAGAGGCTTTTAAGATGTTTTTTTTCTTCATGTGACAAAGTACGAAAATTTCAGTTAAAGATTCTTTTTATTAAAAAAAATCCAAAGAGAGAGATTTTAAAAGATACATTTATTAGAATTTTAAATCTGGAAAGATTTTTTTTAACTTGTTTGATGGTTTTATCAAATGAATTATTCAAAATTTCAAATTCGCCGTATTCCTGTCTTTTAAGCCCCTAGTATCAAATGTATGAATAGCATTGAATAGTTTAAAAACAGGACCAAAAAACTTATAAAAAATGCATAACGTTTCCTTAACATTACTCTAATTATAAACTAGACAATTCACAAGAAATGCATGTTTTAGCAGTTTCAAAATATCTTCAAATACCTCCTGACCTTTCATGTTCCGTCATTTTCAGAATAAGAATTAATTTCATATTTTATTTTGTAGAATCGTCGTAAAACTAAATTTACTGTTTATGTCTTTAAGAAGAAACAGATAGAACAGAGTGTTACAAAATGTCTTTTTTAATTTGTGTTGCTAATCTTGCTGCAAACCTTATTTACATTTTAGATAATTAACATTTTCGCAGATTTTCCTGTTTTCATTAGAGAATTTGCAATTTAAAAAAAAAAAAATCTGAGTCAAAAGATTTTACTTTGACCAACCACAAGGGATGGATCGTTTTCACTTTTGGAAAAACGATCTTTTTGGTTTAAGAAATACGAAGAAAAACCCAATGGTCGGTTTAAAAAAATGTTGTATTTTAAAACATTTGTCGTTTCGATAACGAAAGTAGTTTTTAAAATTTTTTTTTACTTGATCGAGTCATCCGAGCCAAGGTTTTAATGCAAGGAAAGTTATTTCAGAGGTGTACGCATCTTTTGTACTGCAGTGTACTGTCTCTGGTCGGTAATGTAAACACAAGACGGATGTCGAAGCCTGAAATGGGATCCATCTTTCACATAAAAAAGAATGAAATATTCTGGTCATAGGAAACTATTATCAGAATTATTAAATTATCAAAATTTAATAAGTTTATCCTCCTCGGATACTAAACGAACACTGATGCATCTATTCTTGTTTACAAATTCCGCCCAGAGAGAACTGGTTTCAGTATGTACGCAGAGTATACGCAATTGCAATTAACTTTCCTTGTATTATAACCTTGATATGTGCGATGTTTATTGGACACAAACAAACAAACAAAAAAGAAAGAAAAAGAAAGATAGATTTTACAGACAATTTTATGTATTATTTTTTTTTTAAATTTGTGCTTAAATGAAAAGAGTTGATTAATTGGCTTAAACTAAATTATATTTTAAGAAGTGTGAAAGAAAAATCATATTTTCATCAAAATATTACTTCTTGATTCAAAATCAAAATTAAATTAACTTTCGAAAAAAATATCTTTACTACCTCTTTTTGTGAAAGGTCGTCTTTATATAATAATACTATATTATTTGTTATCGAGTCACGTAAGAACAAAAAGCAATAGT